CTTCACCTATCAATGTAAAATGAAGACACGCCTCTGACCCCCAAAAAAAAGGGGGGGGGGGGATTTCTGATTTTTACTGTAAAATCTAAAAGTTTACTCCATTTATTTACAAAGGTTCAAAAAAGATCAAAGGAATTGGCTGGTATTCAGCATCATGAGCATCCACGGACTAAAGAATAGCACTATTTTTGCGTGCTGGATATTCCAAGCCTGCATGCAAAAAAATTGTTGCGATCTAACAAGCAGTTTTCGAGAAAATGGCTTGCAAGTGTGTTCATAAAAAGTTGAACGAACTATAGTCCCCGCAGTTAACAAATAGAATACTCACAGCGGAGTGGTGAAGCCGTTTGCCTCGTGCACTGAAGGTCGGATCGTCTCTTATCTGCGTCGCGAATGCAATTTTTACTGAGATCCCTAGAGATCGTTGCCGGAGCTACGAAGTTTGTGACTAGCCATTCTGCGGAGAGAGACTGGACTGTGTAGTATAAAACCTGGTGCAGTGAAAATTACCATCTCAATTTTAACTTTTTTTTCCAACTTACCCAGTATAAAATATTGAGCTGAACAAAGCTCAAAGCAACCATTCTAGTTGGATACTTGAAGAACGGAAAGTTGGTAAAGTATTGCAGTTTGAAGCTGTCTTTTCTGCAGGTTAAAAATAAACAGGTAAGTCTTTAGTACTGTATGCGAGTAGAAATGGAAAGAAGTTTTCAGGACGTTGAAGCAGGGACTGTCCAGGATGAACACTGAAAACAAAATAGGTCCCATTTGCGGAAATGGCATTCTTTTCTAGGGGCTGCGACAAGAAAGACCTTCTGAAAATGATGTGCTTCAAGATTATGATGATGTTGATGATGATGATGATGATGATGGTGATGGTAACGATGGTGGTGGTGACGGCGGTGATGAGCACTCTTTTGTGGTTTTGTTGTACCTAAGAGGAAAGTTACCGTAGTTAAAATATTTTATCTATATACATAGATTTCTTCTTCTTCTTTTTCTGGTCGCTCTTCCTGTAAGTAGTTTTTTCCACAGGCCTTTATGAAGTATGTGATGCGACCGTGTCCTCGACTGATCCATACGACTTAGTTTTCATTTGAGTGCTAGGATATATGGCTGTAGCACCGATTATAAACAACATATTCATACCAACACTGTGCTACCAGTGCTACCAGACTTGGACATTATTGAAGGCTAACCTACGTAAAGTTAACACCTGTTAAAAGAAATGCTCGAGAAAAGCCACCCCCTTAACCATTCGAAACAATATTATCAGACAGACTGTGGGGATAACACCATGCTGCAAATTCACTGAAAAAAAAAAGAAGATCAAATGGTTTGGTCATATTATACCAACGCAGGAGCTACACATGAAAAGAGCTAATGTGAAAGCAAAAAGTCGCCTTAGAGAACGATGGATTCAAGAGCTTCTACATCGACACGGAATGACAATGGCCATCGCTGCCCATCAAGCAATGGATCGCAAAATGTTCCTTCCCACGGCGGTTAACGGCAGAAGTGGATATTGATGATGATGATAATAATAATGATTATGGTTTCAGAGTCTCTTCTGTCGAATACGCAATCTAAATATGATATTCTGTTTCAGAGATATAGCTTCTTCTTCAAGCCTGTGTGAAAACATAATGTTAAGACTTATGTAACTGATGCAGATTCATTTCATCTGGGCAACGTAGAAGGCTATTGATGGTGATGTCTGAATAAGTTGTGTTTGAGGCAACGAGCCTGCAGATTATCCTGCAAACACTTAGGTTGCTATGGCTGTTCCACAACCGAACAGAAGCGACGATGTCAATGGCACGCGTACCACATACAACGAAGATGAATATCATAAGATGCATATTCTCTATCCCTGTTCAGGTCGATGGACACGGGAGTGCAACCCGAAGCTGTTGGATATTGAAATTTCAGCAAGGGGACACGTGATGGCATCTGTCAATCCGTGGGGACTATGGAGACATGCAGCTGTCTTTTGGAACAATATCTGCTGTGATTGTGAAGTCCGATGCGGGAGTGACAGTCTCTGCAAAATAGGATACACACACAAGTAGATGCTCCCTCTCTATGAGGCTGATTTATTTTCTGGCGTCTCATCTCTATAGCTCGCTGCGTTTGGTTTTTGTCAAAATGCGAGAGCCCATCTTTCACTTTCCGTCGCCATAGTGGTCGATCAGCAGTCGATTTCTCCCTTGTATCTCTGCCTATGTTAGTATCTATCAGGTCACGTTTGTATATGACTTTAGCTTTGGCCTTCCTCTTGGTCTGTTTTCTGTTTACACTTCACCATAAGGAGGTACCTTTGGAATACGACCATCCCCATGGGGAGACATAGCCCACCATTTGCTTCAGTAGACAGTACATTGATGATATGTTTGCTCTTGTGAGTACACATTCGTTGGAGACCAGTTTTCGCAATGATATACCAAGGATACGCCTAATCTGGCGCATGTAGAAGGTATTGTCTCTTTTTTGAGGAATATAGAGTACAGGGCTCGCTGCCGTACAATAGCGGGCTCAAGACACAAGACTCATAAACTTTCATTTTAGTATCATCAGACAGCTTTTAGTTTTACGAGAGTATCGTAATGAGGTTTGGAAACATTTTAGAGACCTTTCCTTTACGACTATGTATCTCTGCATCTAGGGAATGATCACCTGAGGTCTTCAAACTCATGAACAGCTGGTGGTCATAAACACTGTTTGGTAGGTTTACATAATTCATTCCTACCACTTGCGTTTTCTTGAGACTGATGGTAAATGAAAATTCATTGCATGCGTTTGCAAAGCGATTCACGAGGATCTCCAGACCCTCCTCTGTATGTGCCACAATGGCTGCATCATCCACACACAAAATATCCTTGAGGCATCCTGTGTGCACCTCGTCCTTGCACGTAGCCTGAACAAACTCAAAAGATTGCCATCTGACCTCGTACGGAGATATATCTCTTGAGTGACTGTCCCGAATGCGCACCTCAATGCAGTAAAGAAGATGCCAAACAGCTTGAGAGCCAGAACGCATCCTTGCTTTACTCTGTTATGAATACGGAAGGGTGAAGACGACGAATTTTCATATTTCATGGTCCCTTGCATATTCTCGTGAAAGGATGTAGTTAGGCTTAGTAGTATAAAAGGGCATCCGTATTTATCAAGGATCTTGCCCGGCTCGCTAGCGTAATTGGCCAAACGTGACTTAGCAACGAACTCCTTGACCAGGTGACGAACTCTTTGTGGTCCGGGTTCACGCCCGGGGGTAGGCAGAAAAGCCACATTTCTCCCAGATTTACGGTATTTATCATGGAATCAAGGCCGAAGGGTTGCGATAATATCCATAGTACCGGTTAAGAAAAGGTTAAGAACTCATGGTTTCTGGATATTTAAGATCTTGAGCAGACCATCTCCACTGACATATTCAAAGGCCTTAGTGAGATCTATTAGGGCAATAAGCAGAGGCTTTGGGGACAAGACGCTTGATTATTCAGCCCAGAACGTGCGTCAACGGTTGTTTTACACTTGTGGAACTTTTGAGAATGAGATCAGAGCACCTATGGATCTGTCCGGAGTGCTGTGATGAGAATCCTTGCTAATCACTAATCGCTTAAAGATAACAAACAAACAAAACCACACACACACACACGCACACACACACACAGAGAGAGAGAAAGAGAGAGAGAGAGAGAGAGAGAGAGAGAGAGAGAGAGAGAGAGAGAGAGAGAGAGAGAACACAGATATCTTATATTTATCGTATAATGGTTGGAAGGTCGTGGGTTCGCGATCTAACAGAGCCAGACTTTTTTTAAATGACCTTGACTCCCAAGTCGCCCCAGCCTTGAATGGGTACCAGGTGCAGTCCTGGGAAGTAAAGAAGGCCGGCGTGATGCTGACCACATCACCCTTCTAGTGCCGGTTGGTCTATACGAATATATGTCTAACCCTATATTTCCAATTCACCTAATGGTGTGGAAAAGGGCCTTTTATTCAATTAGGAAGATTTACTATGGAAACATGGAGCCACCGCGGTGTAGCGGCTAGACACTTTTCGCTCAAAAGTGACCTTGGCTCCAAGGTCCACCCAGCATTAAATGGGTACCAGTTCAAGTTATGGAAAGTCAAAGCGGCCGACGTTGAACACATCACCCAACGAATGCCCACTGGTCTATAAAACATAAGGTCTAGCTCTACTTGCCCAGTACGTGAAATCGGGTCTTTTATTTTACTATGGAAACCAAATTAATCGAAATGCAAAAGGTACATAAAAATATAATAATGTGCCGAGAGGAGACAACTCTCACTGATTGAGTGACTTTCTACCCCACCAGGACATCACACAAGCGATAAACACCTGATGACACAAAGTGCCACCATGTGGATGAGGATCACCGTGGAGAGGTCCCACAAACCGCGTTCAGCCATTAGACCATATTTATGGCCTGGCTATATTGTGGCCCCTGGCAAGAGCCAAGGTGGGGCTTCAAAAAACGAAAAATTGCATCCTAAAAAGGACGGTATATGGTTTTTACGACGATAGTAGGAGACAACTCTGCTACAATTTCCTAATGGTCGGTTTCGGGATCGATGGGTCTTAACTTTGTTTACACCTAAAACAATAATGAATAATATTAATAGCAGTTTGATGAATAGCTAAAAAATTTAATACTGTGTTTGAAATAATTGGATTTACATAAATAACAACTTTAAAAAAATATATACATGGCTGGGGACAGGGGGTGGGTGGGGAGGCTTATCCTCTTACAAACTCGATGAGGATGGGCCCAGCACCCTAGAAATGTTGTTGGGGTCCGGGGGTGACTATGCCCCCCCCCCCCTCACTCCGCAACACTACCCAGGTCCCGGCAGCTCTAATACTCACACATGATCAAGAAATCATTGATATGGTTTCAGACTTGACTGATTCTGATCTCCACTAGTAGTTGTGAGTTTGTTTGTGTATTACATAAACAACTGCGACAGTAGAAATGTACTCACATCTGATCAGTGAATCTTTGGGAAGGATCTTGACTAGACTGACTTTGACCTCGGTGTGGCAGTGTGAACTTGTGAAACACCCACCGCACATGGTCCTCTTGATGCAGCTTGACCATACTTTCTCTTTGCTAGCAGAGACAAAGTCAGATCTCTGTTGTAATGAGGTTTGGTTGGTTGGTTGATTGGTTGGTTATTTGCTTGCTTGCTTGATTGTAGTTTTCACCTCACGTATAAGCGTCAATCAAGATGGAATTCCGCTAGCCGCATTCAGCCGAATAACATTTACATGCTTCTTTTTCTTCTTCTTCTGCCTTTCTAACCCCCAGTGGAGCATAGGCTCTTAACCAGCGGCGTTACCTGAAGCCGATGTGGTAAAGAAAAAAGGTAGATGCTTTTTTTTTTTCACTCCTTCATATGTATAGGGCTAGACCTATATTTTATTGACCAATCGGCACTCGGTAGTGAGGGGTCCGACGTGGGAATAACTGAGTTGTGATCAGAAGAGGATTTCTGGGACACTTAATTCTTTCAAAACAGGCTTCTATAAATACGAACTGTCTTATGCTTTCTCTCTTCCTTTTCCTTCTCCTTCTTTTTTTCTTCTTCTCCTATTCGTCCGTCTTCTTCTTCTTCGTTGTCTTCTTCTTTCTTCTTCTTCTTCTTCTTCTTTTACTTCTTCTTCTTCTTCTTCTTCTTCTTCTTCTTCTTCTTCTTCTTCTTCTTCTGCTTCCTCCTCCTCCTCCTTCTCCTCCTCCTCCCCATTGGAGTATAGTCCATCCACCAGTTCACTCCTAGTCGCTCTGCCCTTTGCTTATAAATGCAGCTCACCTATGTCCTTTCCATCCTTATATCTTTACTGTCTGACTCGCTCTCTTGTGTGTTTTTATTCTACCATTTTTTTATGCACCTGTAAGTTCTTTTGCAAAGATATTCTAGTTGTTTTATTCTCAGGTTATCTCTACGTGTATCCTATCCAAAGCCAGCGTCTTTTCTTTATCTCTCCTTCCACTAGAACTTGTTTAGGTTCTCCCACAATACTCAAAATTGTTGAGTTTATTAAACCAATGAATTCCCTTTATTCTGCGAAGGCAACAGTTAATGAAGGTTTGTATTTTCTAAGTAACTGTTTTAGCTGTTTTGTATATTTATGCTCCATACAGCAGCACTGACTTGACATTCAAATTAACAATTTTAAGTTCAGTGTTAGTTTTAATGTCTTTTGACCTCACTAATGTCATACTGTTATAAAAACACCTCTTGCCTTTTGTATTTTTAATATCTCTGTCAGTTCCCCGTCTTTATCTACATTACTGTCCAAAAATGTGTACGACTCCACATTAGGATCAAGACACCATTAAAGAAACTACCAGTAATATTTTGGTTCTCTCAACATTCTACCGGCCCTTGAACTTTTGTCGCCATGTGCAGCTACACATGTTGCACAGGCTTGAATAGGGCCCTGGATACAAATACAATTACTGCATTTCTTATGAAAAAGGTTTAAAGTAAATGTCTAAGTACTAGCTCACCTTATGAAAATATACCTGGCTTCTGTAACACTGGTACAGAATGTTACAGCAATAGATGATCAGCACTAGATAATAGGTCAGGTTTGGCAGGACTCCCATAATGAAAAATGTCTTTAAGAAGTCTTGAATAACTGTACTGTTACGCTGTAGGAGGGAATATTTTCAAACATAGTTTATCTGAAAGATGTCTTGCATAACTGTACTGTTTCGCTGTAGGAGGGAATATTTTCAAACATAGTTTATCTGAAAGATGTCTTGCATAACTGTACTGTTACGCTATAGGAGGGAATATTTTCAAACATAGTTTATCTGAATGATGTCTTGAATAACTGTACTGTTACGCTGTAGGAGGGAATATTTTACAACATAGTTTATCTGAAAGATGTCTTGCATAACTGTACTGTTACGCTGTAGGAGGGAATATTTTCACACATAGTTTATCTGAATGATGTCTTGAATAACTGTACTGTTACGCTGTAGGAGGGAATATTTTCACACATAGTTTATCTGAAAGATGTCTTGCATAACTGTACTGTTACGCTGTAGGAGGGAATATTTTCACACATAGTTTATCTGAATGATGTCTTGAATAACTGTGCTGTTACGCTGTAGGAGGGAATATTTTCACACATAGTTTATCTGAATGATGTCTTGAATAACTGTACTGTTACGCTGTAGGAGGGAATATTTTCAAACATAGTTTATCTGAAAGATGTCTTGAATAACTGTACTGTTACGCTGTAGGAGGGAATATTTTCAAACATAGTTTATCTGAAAGATGTCTTGCATAACTGTACTGTTACGCTGTAGGAGGGAATATTTTCAAACATGGTTTACTTACTTCTATGAATGCTATGTCTTGCACCCGAGACACTCTCATAAGCGCTCAGTTCCCCACTTCAGCAGCAGCAATCAAAGAGTTCAAATTCGAATAACTGTCTAATTGTACATTCGTCTCGCCCTTTCCGTGAGTGTTGAGCGTCAGCCAGATCCCCTCGTAACTCCTCACAGTGCCATTCTCCTCAGACTGTGATGATCTATTTGTGAATCCGCACAGTTCACTCGCTCCCAAAGGAACCCTCACAATATCTAGTACATACAATTATGAGGCTAAATACAAAGTGTGCAATGTGCCTGAAGCCGGGAAAAGGGTCCGTTACTTGCACAGCCATCTTTATATCTAAAGATGGCAGTGGTTTCTTGTATCGTGATTGTTGATATTGAGGGGGGGAGGGGGGGGGGGGGTATCAGTTTCTGATAAGTTTAGACGTACCTCGGTGACCCAGTTATTGAAAGTTAAGGATGATGTAGTCTGCACTGTTTCAACTACACTCAGCGACAAACTGGAAAGAAAGACATTGTAGACATGGTGGTTAACCAAAAATACGTTTTTTTTGCCTTCGTCATCGTGTTTCGTAAAGCATCGTTGTCATCATCAGCATAATCATCATCATGAAACAGCGAAGGTAAACTGTTTCGTCAAGCATGTTATCATCGTCATCAGCATAATCATCATCATGAACAGCGAAGTTAAACTGTTTCGTCAAGCATGTTATCATCGTCATCAGCATAATCATCATCATGAAACAGCGAAGGTAAACTGTTTCGACAAGCATATTATCATCGTCATCATCATACAGAGAAGAATTCTTTCCTCAAGCATGTAATCACTATCATCATACAGCGAGATATGTTAACTCTTTTCTCGCGCTTATGGCCCTGAGCCAATTACCAACGAAGGTATAAAGTCTTTGAACTGTTTTCAAAAATGACCTTGGCTCCCAGGTCCGCCCAGCCTTTAATGGGTACAAGGTAAAGCCCTAGGAAGTAAAGACGGCCGGCGGGATGTTGACTTGACCCCTTACCCCCTCTAAGTGAGGATTGGTCTGTAAAACATACGTCTAGCCAAATATGCTTGGGGGGGGGGGTTTGGGGGGGGCAATTAAACATCCCGACCTGTACAGTCCATGGCGACAGCACTAGCCATGCGGCCATAAATCATCAGGCTCACGACCCCCTGTCTACCCATGGTTCCTAAAAAGTGGTACAGGCAGACAACAATGACAGTTCAACAATATCTACCAATCCCTTGTCCTTGTGGATCAGTGCAAGTAGTGTTCTTGTTTGCCTCCCCTTGCTTGTGGCTAGCACCCGACAACCTACAGGACAGAAAGTTGTTTGATGTTTCCTTACTTGTCCGGTCCCTGTTTATAAAGGCGTCGGTCGATCAGTTTGTCCCCTCCGGGCAGTTACATGCAGCTTTCGACATCCATTCTGAGACTTGAAAATCTCACTATTGAACAGCAGACCGACAAGGTAGATTCCAAATACACCGTTCAGCTTTCAAAGGAGTCATAAACAGGGCACCTACCAGCAATAGCAATATCAACTATTGGTAACTTTCAGTCACATGCGGGTAAGGACTTACTATTCAGAAACCTTCCATACATACCATAGGCATGAGTAGAGAATACACAGGCTGGCCCCAGCAGCTTTGTATCTTGTGGTCAGACATGCAAACAGCGGGAAGCAACGCAGACACCCAATCATGGCTTGAAAATATACATACAGTGCTGCGAACAAGAATGGAAACAAAACACAAGTCCATTGCAAAACATCGCAAGTTTTATCTAAGAAGTTGTTACTTTTCGTTGTTTAAGATTCGAGGCAATGATTTGCCAATTTGCACTGGCAGTTTTTATTTCTAAACTCCCTGTCTAGTCTGTACTTAAGGATTTAATTGTAACCGTCGTGGGCTGCAACATGACTTTACGGTTGAACGGGACAGAAGAAATTTGTACGGGTAGGATTCTCATCCTTGGGATATTATTCCTCAAGACTGAAATCTTGGAAGGGACAAACTGCAAACTAGACATTGTCAGTACTGCAGGCTGGACCAAACTGATGAAGCCTCAGTTATAATTGTTTTAGAGGTTGAACTGTATATCTGGAATCTGCCATGTTGGCCTGCCGTCCAACTTAAGTTTTTGTACTCTCAGAATGTCAGACTTTCAGACAGCAGCTCTGAGGGGGTGGGGGGGGGGGGGGCGAAACGCTTGCGATTGCATTACAATAATGCGAAATAATGTAGCACACAATTTACGCCTGTCAAAGGTCGCGAGGCTCTGAGGTCGTGAGATAAGGCAGGGGAAAGGTCAAGGTTAAGTAAATATATTTTTTTGCGGCAGAGACTGTCACTCCTGTATTGGATTTCAGAGTGATAGCAGAGGTTGCTGTTCCCAAGACAAACAGAACAGCTCGAGGGTCTCTAAGGACTGACGGTTGCCAAGAAGAAATGCAGCTGAAAAAATAATCGCCACATCACGCATTTTCGCTCACTAGCGAAGCCGGACTTTTTTCAAAAATGACCTTGGCTCCCAGGTCGACCCAGCCTTGAGTAGATACCGGGTGCAGTCCCGGGAAGTAAAGGCGGCCGGCGTGATGCTAACCACATCACCCATCTTGTTCCGATTGGTCTATAAAAATATAGGTCTAGCCCTATATGCCCTATATGGCTAATGGCGTGGAAAAGGGTCCTTTACTTCTTTTACTTTTCTTAACGCATTTGGTGGGATCATCCATTAAAGATGTTTCAACGAAAAGCATAAATTCAGTACTCTCTAAAGCTAATGAGCACCAGTGCCCCCCTCCCTAAACCCAGATTTTGTTACCGTTTCCACATCAAATTACCTTTTGCCCATAACGGCATTTCGAACTCATTCTCTGATGTAGCCAAGGACACTACTGTACCAGTAGCCGTTCCAAACGATATAGCATAGGCAAGGCGATTCTCAAAGCCGTCCAGAAAGTGGAATGGACTGTTGGAAACAGATTCACAATAATGTTTACTCTTTAGAGACATGGTGACATTTGTTGTAAACAAAATAATTCAAAGCAGCTTTGTAGGTCATGGATTAGGAGGGAGGGTGGGCTGTAAGGAAACCATAATCTATCTGTGTAACACGCCCTTCGAAATGTTATTCTATGCATTCGAAATTGCAAAGATTGGAACTTAGATCGTGGATAATGAAGATGCTGACGCTAACACGATCCCATAACCTCGGATTGAAGCCGGATGAAGTAAGTCGGGGCCGTCTTTGACATCACGACAGGAGACGAAATCAATCTCTCATGGGAACAATCAGAAGAGATACTTTGGGTTACAACTTCGCTTCCCCAGTTCCTTTATTTCCCATTTGAATGCCTGTCTGGTGCTTCTTTGCACTCATCTCCTAGGATGTTTTCAGTATAGGCAATATTGTTTGTCTTTTAAAACCACTTAACGGCACTTTTTTGTTTCATATGTAAACGAGTGAACTTCAATTTAAAATAAAAACAATCCTTTCTACATCATTTTTCTTTTTCTTCTTCGTGTTCGCCGGTTATAAACTCCAGCGGAAAGTTCTGTTTGTTCCAGAACCTGATTGTTGCGTACACATCCGTTTCACAGATCTGTCTCATTTGTATGCAGATTGTAGGTTCCTTGCCTCTCAGGCAATGATACGAGTAGGAGGCACACAACGATACGAGTATGAGGACAACATCAAGAGATGGACGGGCAGATCTGAAAGAGTCCGTTGCAGCCAATCGTTATTGTGGAAACGACATCTGATTGACTGATTCAGTTAATGAAGTATGGTCTGTCGAAGAAGTTACCAGGTGTTTAGAACAAGTGCCCTTTTAGAACGATCAGTTCTCACCTGTGAGCATATACTGCAGAAGACAGAGCACATATGTACGGTGTGCTATTGTTGGAGCTGGTACGGGTAGCGGCTGGACGCTCACCTGCGGATCCGAAGATCGTGAGTTTCAAATCAAGAAGAAGCCAGACTTGCTCAAAAATGACTTTGGCTGCATGAATAGAACCCAGAGAGTCATTGAAACATGCTTAAATGAGCACCAGGCAGTATCCTGGGAAGTAAAGGCGACCGGCGTGATGTTGACCGCTTCAGCCACCGAGTACCGACTGGTCTGTAAACTATAGATCTAGCCCTATATTCCCAATACGCCTGGAGAAGTGCAAAAGATCCTTGACTTGATATTACGGTGCGCTGTGCGCTGTGGTGTCGAGGCTTAAAGATCAAACATAATTTCCTAGGTACATTCAGTGGCAGGGCAAGATCATCAAATACTGATGTATACTGGAAAGAGCAGCTATTACAACAGTTTTTTTAATGCTCAGTCTAGAAGGCTCAGATGGCTGGGTCACACCTGGAGAATGGAGGATGGCTAACGACACCCTCTATGCTGAATTAAAGATGGGTGGAAGATGTCGGAGCCGACCTCTACTACGATATAAAGATGTGTGCAAAAGGGACATGAATGGTACAGGTACTGAGGTGGACTCGTAGGAACAAAAACGCCATGGACCGTGTTGTGTAGAGGGGGCATATAAGGAAGGGAATGATAATGAAGGAAGAAATGATTACAGAACGGATGCGAGCTTAGCGTTTGAGCAGAAACACGGTAAATACAACTGTTGACAATAGTCCAGAAATTAAAAAAAGTAAAAGTAAAGTTCCCTTTTCACGCCTTTCGTCGCATCGGGCATATGGGCAGAGCGTCCCATATTTTTACAGACCATCAGCACTCTGTGGGTAATGTGGTCAGCATTACGCCGGCTGTCTTTACTTTCCCAGGACAGCCCATCCTGGTACCCATTTTAGGCTGGGTCGACCTGCGACGTCCCATACCACGACAAAAATCCACGCAGCCTGCAGTGGGTTTCGATCGCGGTATGCTGGCTTACGAGTCAGACTAGCAACGCCTTAGCCACGGACGCCGCAGTCCAGAAATCCCATGCTATCATTGTGGAAGACTTTTCTTGACACGGGCTGGTCTTGCTAGTCATACTCGCCATCGCCATGGGCTGTGAGTCTCATGCCTCCTCGTAGTACAATATAACACTATCTTCTGGAAAGACGGAAAGGTGTCAATATACAAAAGAGAACCGGCTGGACATTTAAAACTTTTAAAATTCTTTTTTTTTTGTTTTGTTTTTAAACTATGTTGCACAAGACTAGTTATTTAGAGGCAACTTAAGCTTTCTTAATCAAAGAATAGGCTCAGTCTTACACGACGAGAGCGGGTCGTCCACGACAGAGGTCTCTTCTGTTCTTTCTTTTCTCCAGGAATGACAACAGCACGATGATACCAGTCTGGCAACAGTAACAAATCGCATGCTTTACACTTTCACCAAGAATAGTTGCATATGACATACAAAAAGCATGACAACTAAATTAGAAGAACATGTATATGCATTATTATTATTATTATTAATATTATTATTATTATTATTATTATTATTTCTGTTTATGATGTTCCCTAGTGGATGTAAAGGGAGCCAGTTTTAATACATGGCTGTGAATCCTGGACAATTAATAAACAAGCCAAATAATTTCTTGAGGCTTTGAAAATGTGGTTTTACAGAGGAAACCTTATAATTCTTTGGACAGCCAAAAAGAACAGCCCCAATGTTCTGAAAAAAAAGTCGAGGGCTCAAAAACAACTGATCACAAACATCAGACAGAGGCAGTCATCATTTGGGCTCCATAAGAAAGAAACTGGGATGCGTGGTGACCACTGGAAAGATCTGTGGAAAGAGAGACAGAGGAAGACAATGTGAACCGATTCTTGTATTGGCATGGAGGGATGTCACACACGAACTGATACATGCTGTTGAAGGTCTGGACAGGCGTGATGGCCAACGCCACTCATCAAGACCCTTAGTAATGATGATAATGATGATGATAATGATTATGACGACGACGAGATGTAGTAAGCAGTAAGCAGGGTCGTACTTAAACATGTGCAGCTACACATTGTGGCAATATTTACGATATAGATTTATGGGGGGGGGGGTGGGGGTGGTAAAATTATGAGGGTAGCAAAATATAAATAGTGATATTAAAATGTAAATATTGTTATTGCTTTTATCATTATGAAAACTGCATTAGATTAGAGTTCTGATATTAAAATAGTTTGATAAAAGCGATGCTAAAGTTTAGTCCTGAAGGAACGCTAAACATGACCCTGATAGCAACAGCAGTAGTCGTATTAGTAGTACTAGTATTAGTAGTAGTAGCAGCAGCAGTAGTCGTATTAGTAGTACTAGTATTAGTAGTCGTAGTAGCAGCAGCAGTAGTCGTATTAGTAGTATTAGTATTAGTAGCAGCAGC